GAAGTTTGGTAACTTCAGAGTGTTTGGTAGGATCTGAAGAGTCCTGGAAAGGATACAAGCATGAGGACAGCATGTGTTCATTCTTAATCAGAGCAGGACATTTGATGCTTGATTCTGCGGAGGACCGTGAGGGAGTATTTTTAGAGTTGGCTGAGGTTTTTATTCCTCTCCCTTCCCCCTTAATTATTTTTTATTGTGACATCTATCAAAAGAGGAACGTATTTTCCGACTCTGCACTGGCACAAATCACATTCTTTTGACAAAATAAATCTTTATAGAGGGTGTCGTTCAGCTTCAGTGCTAAAGTTCAGGGGTAAACTGGTCTTTGTGTTTCCACTAGTGGATATTCACAGAGCAGTGCTCTGTCCTCCAACATGTGGCGACACAGAGACAGCTGCAGGATGGGAGGAAGGAGGAGACGATGGGGAGGGGGAGGGAGGGTGAGAGGCAAAGGGGCGATCAGGGAAGGAAGGCGAGAGGAAACCAGTGGAGGAGGATGAGGAATGAGGGAGCACTCCTTCCTCTCGCCTCACCTCTGAAGGGTTAAAAAAAATTACCAAACACGCGGGAAACTCGCTTCCTCTCCCGCCACAAGCAGCCAGAAGCGTCACATCCTGATTTCTTTCCTTCCAGCAGATCCAATATAACCTCCTCGCATTACATAATGTTTTCCTTTTCCAAGCTCAGATACTGAAAATCTTATTTTTGCTTTAGTACTATGGGAATAAAAGAAAAAAATAAACATCAGAAAAAAAGACAGCTTTTTGTAAAATCTGCTCCTCCTTTTTTTTTTTTGACTTTGAGGTGCTTCCAACTTTTTGTGACTCATGTCGGCAGAATGTGAACATGTTCCTGTTTAAGAAAGTGTAGATGCTTACTTTGCTGTTTTCCAGACTTTCTGACTAAGTTTATGGTCAACATCTAGCATCCAACCATCATGTGATTCGATGTTTTCTTATTTCACACTGAAACGTGTGAACTCTTCTCGCGCAACTATTGTAAGACAAATTATTATAAATTCAATTCAAAGTTAGTTTCATCCCTATTTTTTCTTTCTTTGCGTGTTGACTATTTGTGACTCTTATTCCTCCAAAGTTTTTCAGGAAGGGAAATTCTCCACCGTTCTGCTTTGTGTCCATCCTCTCTGACTGATATTGTAAAACACAGACAGGTCATTGTCTGCATCCAGTCTGAAGCTCCTCTTTCTTTGCTGTACGCTGCTGTAACATCACTGCTTTCGGAGGCCTTTACAGTATATCGGCCTGTGTCTAATGAACAAGAATGTGCTTAATTGAGTGAGCTATGGTGGCGGAGCACAAAAGGGGAGCAACACCAGAACAATCTCCTCATTCTGCCGGGTCTCCTCCAGGGGAAATGGGTGACCCACGGGGACAGCAGGAGCCTCTGTGAGTCACAGGATGACAAACATCAGCTGACATAGTAACTCTGTCTGCTAACAGTCCACGCATTATTCCCCAATGAGAATACTTCTTTAGTTTCCTTCGATTGTTGCCCAGATTTAGATCAGCTCCTGTACTACGGATCTCCAGTGAATGAAACCGAGACAAACCCACGCTGCTTTATTGCCTCTGACTCATCCGACTTGTGCCTGTGTGTGTGTGTGGGGAAGTTCTCCATGTTTCCTGCGCATGTCTCCCTGGGTTGCCAGGTTTGACTAATGGGTGAACACGCTTGCCTTTTTGTGGCTCGGAGCGGCGGCCAGTGACGGCCACTTCTGGGATCGGTAACGAAGACGTGTGGTGAAGAGCAGAGGGAGAAAAGCACAGAGTTGCTGGGGGCTGACAGTTGCCATGGCAACCCTGTAATACATCTCGGGATAGGGGGTAAATGGAGTCAGCCATTTTAGGTTTTTGTGAGTCTGTAGTGGCTGGTGCTGGAAAGCTGCAGTCTCAAATGAACAACGATTTAACTTTTAAAAACTGAAGATTTTATTTCTTAAGGCAGGCAGATGTTGCACAGCTGTGCTTTTTACAGGTGTTCATGAAACTCAATCTAGAAAAAAATACATTATTCAGCACTAAATTGTGTGTCATGCCTTTTTAATGAACAATGCGGGTCACCGCCGTCCCTCCAGCTGCTTGGTCTTTTCTTTTATCCCTCCAACATCTGCAGCAGCATGTTGCAGGCCGCTCCTTTTGTTATGCTCAGCGACGTATCATTGGCTATTTATAGGCTGTTGTGAAGGGCACAAAGAGCCTGAGTGCTGACGGCTATGATCTCCGTTTGGTCTTCTGATTTTTACATGAATAAAAATAACATGTCAGTAATTTCCCAAAAATAAGGAAAAGAAACTGGAAGTATGATTTTTATTTTTTTTACCATTAAAATGATTTGAGAATTTGATGACTGAGCAAAATGGGACTTAGAATGAAGTGGACGGCATCACTTAAGGATAGCCAAAAATGATTATTTATCTTTATGTGAGACATTCTGGGTCACAGAGTGAAGGCAACAAAATAAAATGGTAAATTAACATTAAGAAGCCCAAAAGGCAATCCAAGAGCAGTCCACTTTCAAAATTACAGCTATGATAAGACATCCAGACACTTTGTTCTGTGTTTCTACGTTTTCTTTTTGGATTTAGTGGTTCATATTTAGTCTTTTTACAATAACCTAAAAATCACCTCAACAATTAGAGGCTGTTAGTTTTTAGTAAGTGAATGTTTCACACAAGCTTGGTTAAGTTGCGTTAAACCCTCTCATTTTGGTTTTGTTCCACTTGTCTTTCATAAAATCATAATAAACAGATTTATAGATTGACTTGCCTGCACTGTTGCATATTAAAGCTGTTAAACATCACACTAGGATTAACAAAGCCCACTTCGAATTTGTTAATCTGCATTTTCTGTAAACAGAATTGAAACAAGCAACGTACATGTAAGGTTTTTCAAATGATTTCTTTTATTTGAAATGTCAGTGTCCAAGAGAAAATAAAACAGAAATATAAATATTAGCATAAAAATAAGAGAGTAACACAGGGGTGTAGCATCGGGGAGAGGGCAAAGCGTTTTATAAGAAAGATAATACAGCAGGATAGAGTAGTATTAATTCAGCAGCGGACGGACTTACACATATATAATATTTATAATCATTTGTTCATATGGACAGAAAGAGAATGAGAGGCATTATTTCACAAATGCACAAGAGAAAAAAATCACCGCAAAGTAACATTAAGAGGTTACAGAAGGATAGAAAGACTTCCATATTTATTTTTTTTGTTTTTTTCTTTGTTTCATTTCTTTACAGGGTGATAAAGGGTAGTAAAGAGAAAAAATAAACACAAAAATATGCGCAACACATACCACAAGTTAACTAGTCTACGTGTGTCACTTTGTTTTTTTTTTTACTCATCTAAAGTTATCTTTAAAAGTCATTTATTTACACTGAAGAGTTAGTTGGCTTCAATGGTGCTCAGTTACTACATTGCAACACAAACTGTTGAAGAACATGTCAAACGTTTTGATTATTGTTGATAAATTTGTGTTGTTTTTTTTTTGTTTTTTTTTTTAAGCTGTGATTTTTATTTTTCTTGAAAAACAAAATGCAAACACATTCCAGTAGTAAGCCGCGCCTTGTTGAGAGGGAACAGTTGGAGAAGGTCCCTGCTGTACAAATACTTGGCTCATACCATCAACCGGACTCGTGTTTATTTACAGCGGGTTAGGAGCCTCGCAGGGCGAGGGGCAGGGGAGCGGACGCAGACAGGTGAGAGGCGGAGAGGGTCGGGTTTGCCACCGATTTCAAAAGCAGAGAAGATGCCCCAAAGGGGCCGTCTCCTCACCAACAGGACTGACTGTGCTTGGCTCTGTTGACCTCTATCAGGGTCAGTGCATTGGAGGAAAATTTAAAAAAAAAAAAAAAAAAAAAAAAACAGGGGTGGGCAGGCCAGCATTGGTTCCTCTGTACATTCAGTGGGTAGAGCCAAAGGTTGCAGGTTGTACCCCACCTCAGTCGGTTTAGCTCTCACCGATCCCCTTTTGCTCCCCTTTGACCCAGCTGCCCTCTTTTCCATGCAGTTTTATCCTGACAGACAGTATGGCAACGCATCTTAAAACAAAACCGCTTTTATACTATTGAATCAATATCTCCCAAAAGAAAAAAAAAAAAGGAAAGAAAACGCATCAATAAATTTCTTTTCAGCACCTCAAGAAAGTGAAGGGGAAACTCCGTCGAGGTCCTAGAGGCTTACAAAGTGTCTAGAAACTCCTAAGCACTTAAGTTTACCACATCTACATATTTCCCTAAAGATTGAAGTGATTACAACCCCAACTCAGTCTCTTCTTCAGCATACGAACAGTGCATTTCTCATAGTTTGGCTCAAATTGGGGGGTGAGGGAAAGGACACTAGCTGGGTGCAAGAAGGGGTGGGAGGCGGGGGAGATCAGCGGGACATGTCTGTACTCGTCCTGAGGTTTTATACAGGTGACCAGGATAAATCTGAGTACACGCCACATGCTTTCACCACAGTCCTCTGCCAGCCCCTCCCTTCAACTGTGGGTGCATGCTCAGATCATAAAAAATATCAGAAGATTAAATTCTTATATCTTTTTTTTTTCTTTCTTTTTCTTAAAACTATGATTACAAAAGTTATTCTCGTTTTCTGTCAAGTAAACACTACGTGTGCATTACGTTGACCTGCGATTGGAGGGAGAAACAAGGATTCAGAATGTTCCCCTCTTTGCTTTTGCAATGCATAGTTTGCAACTCTAAACTAGCATATGTGGTTTGAACCTTAATGAGCATGCAGAAGAGTCTGTAACACCTGTCAAACAGCAGCCTTATGCTTTGCGGCTGACCCTACGGAGGAATATAATGAATGGCAACTAGCGAACTTTACAACAGCCGGCTTTCCGTTTTTGGAAAGTGCACAATAAATCCAACATGAAAGACATTAACTTTTCATCTCTGAATACATCGCTGTGTGTAGCCTTGTCATTCCAGCAAGGTTTTTTTTTACACTGAATCTCTTTGTCCATTAATTATTTCTTTTTTTTCATTTAAAGAAAATAATGGGGGGGGGGAAAGAACAACAACAGCAACCCCCCATACCCATCCAAAAAATATCTACCCACAAAGATTACATGAACAATACTAGACCTTCAAGCACAACATGGGTTAGTAACACTAAAACCTCCAGCACATTTGGATTCTTGGAGAAAATCTTCAAAGAACCACCAACAGCGTCCATGTGACAGCAGATACCTAATGGTGGGGTGTGGGGGGTTGGGTTTCTCATCACTTCATCGCGCCTCCGCCTCCTCTCTGCCGGCATCTACTTCTTCTCCTTCTTGGTGGACTTCTTCTTGGAGGCGGGGGTCTGGGCGGCCTTCGGAGGCTCAGCTTGTGCCGAGGCCTGAGGCGGAGGCAGCGCCTGCTGCGTGGCCTGCTGGGCCGTGGCCTGCTGCTGCTGAGGGTTGGAGGTGAGGGTGGCCGTGCTCCCGGGGATGTACACGTTCTGGCGGTAGTCGGGGACGTGCTGCAGGGTGAACTGGGGGCTGTAGCGGGTGCTCAAGCCCATGGTGCCGGGCCCGAGGGTGGCCGTCGCCTCACTTACTTCTGGGGAGAACAGAGATGAGAGTTTTGGGGGGATGACGGGGGGGCAAAGACGGAAGAGGAGGAAGAAGAGGAGAAAGAAGGGTGGAACGTGTTAAAAGTGCTGGAAATTTTTGCGGCGGCAGTGTTAAAAGAAGCAGTGAGATAATAAAAAAAAAAAAACATGGCAGAAAAAAAGAGCAATACCGAAGCTAAATGAATGTGATGTGAATGGAAGTAAAAGCTGACTGCTGAATAAAAGGAGAAACGGTGCAACAAGAGCAGAAGCATGCTTGTTTGTGTTAATGGGTCTGCACTGGGCATGCTCTGTGTCCTCAGCTGCATGACGTAGCTGCTCTGCTCATAATTCTCCCAGAGCCCCTGCATTGCAGAGCCAGAAACACAAATGCTCCCTCCCCCCCATCCTGAAGCTCCTCTTACATCATATAAACACACATATACAGACAAAAAAAAATTCTCTGATTTTTAGTAAAAATCCTTTTCAAAGAGCAAGACTAAAGCTGAAAACAAAATTGGCTCCAGTCAATGCATAGAACAATACAGTTAAGGAAAATGACCTTCAGTGTTTATCTACAGTCGCTGTTTACCCTTTCCTCCCTGATCGTTGTAACAGTTCAATCTTGTGCTGATACTCATCTAATCAGACTTTTTCTCCTTCAGCTTGGCTTTTCCTTCCAGTGGGAAAATAAAATCCACACAACATCCTTCTGTGATGTCCAAGATTGGAGTGTGAGTTTCTCAAGGGAAGGAAATATGATTTGTTAAAATAACACTGGAAACAATGACTTTAGTTCGTTTCCTGATTGGTTTTCTTACTCTGCTTTCTGCAAATATGATCAATATTTTCCATGAGGTATCAAATACTTGCCAGGTCGATAATGACTCACTACATGAGTCACTATGTACAACAGGAACAAGAAATGGAATAATAGTTCATAGGTGTCCCTGGAGCGCTGCTTACGTTACAACACTTTACGGATGTGTACAGTAGAAACACACCTTGGTTGTGTTTTTAAATTCAACACTGTACTGCAGAAAGGAAAACAACTACAGGTACTCATGTCCGCTCTCTGACTTTGGGTACTTATTACCACACGACCTCAAAGTGGAATTTTTTTCCAGTGTGGACAGAGAGGGCTTTATCAATGAATGAGTCTGGCTGGACGCTGTCCGAGCAAACAGGAAGGCTCACAAACAAGCACTTCCCACGCATCCATGTGCACACGAAGAGACAAAAAGGCTAGCAGGGAAGGGATAGAAAAGAGAAAGATAGAAGCTGCGTTTCCATTAACCATAGAAATCTCACAGCGTCGCACAGCTCATATAATTTGTGTCATTCAAATGTGTTAAATCCATACTTCTATTTTAAAATTGCCGACTACAATTTCCCCAAAACGTAGCATACGTAGCCGCTCCCTTGTATGAGGGGCTTTTCGCTCCAACGCCTGAATAAGACGCCAACAATCTCCTCTGATGACTCATAACTAATTTCTGAGTTTTATGAGTATATCTCATGTAGCTGTTTACATCAGTCACTGCCATCATTTTTAACGTCTTATCGCGTGAACAAGCTTATTCACGTGTGATTTTAATTCAATTTCTTATTTAACGGAAACACCGCAATTACGAAATTGTGTTGTTGTTTTTTTTTTTTTTGACATTGGCAGAATATCGACAAAATACTTGCGCACGTTTGTAATGGAAACACAGCTGGTGACAAGGCGTCGGACTCACCGTTGGCTGCTGCCATCAGTGCCTGAAGCTGCTCGGCTTCAGTGGGGGGCTGGGGCCAGGGGCCAGTTCCCATGGCTACCTCGGGTCCTCCAGTTGCCCTAGAGGTAAAAAGAAAAATAACAAAAAAACAGAGAACACCTAAGTAAGAGGTAGACGATCCTCAGCAGTTTGTGTGTTTAGCTTAATGACTTCACAGTTGGCGCTTTGTAATGTAAAAAGCAAAGAAGCTGATGGTTGGACTCAGCAAGAATAACAAGAAGGATGTATAGTTTACAGAACAGGGCGGATCTCAAACGGTTGTTGAGGCATGAGCTAACGCATATGTGCACACAGCAGCCAGCAGTGTGTTGGTGCATCCATGGTGCCACACTCACTGGTATGTATGCCAGTGAGCACTGGGCCCTCTAGTAAATCCGGCTAAATATTTAACGATTCCTTCTTTTAATGAAGGAAATGGCGAGTCTACATGGTGACACACGTGGCGCCCATTGAGCGCTGAACATTTCCATCTGGGCAAACTTTGTCTTCAAAGCCTGGTTTATTTACAGTCTACAATTTGCATGTGAGGCGAACAAAGGAGAAAGCAGACATTCACCAACCTTCTCCCCACATGTGCAGCAGACCAACATGCGCTCAACTGACAACTAGATCACAATGCTCTTAATCCTGCTTGGACTACTGCTGCTAAATAGCAAATAAAGTTTGCTATTTGTTTTTTTTTTGTTTGTTTGTTTTTTTAAAGGTAGCATACCTTATATAATTCTATGCAGATGACGTTCTGTTATTTGCATACAGTTTGCATAACCCCAGCTTTAGAAGTAGGACAGCAAAGGGACTTCTTTTTTAGCAACACAAATAACTATCTGTCTACGTGGAACATTTATTTATTTTGGCTTTTCACTTAAAAACACTTAGCCTAGGACTATGTGTTTAAAAAAAAGGGTTAATAATAAACAGCTAAAGCAGAAATGTATACACAGCACATTGAAAAGGCTTTAGGCACCTGAGATATCCATATATATTCTTAGGAAGCTACATGGAGCATGTTTCTGAGCACAATCAGACAACCTGAGCTATACACAGATATTCCTACATTTGGTCATTTTGCCCCATCATCATTTCATACCCTAATTTGGTATCAGGCCAATAATACATTAAAATAGGATGCTATATAATTTTTTGAGAAGTTGAGAATTATGTGAAATTACACGAGAGTTGGGCGTTTTTACGACAGCTTGTGCTTACAAATAAAGATAGTATATTGATGCACAATAGCTTTAAGTACGTTTTTACAAAATCATGTCTACAGTTATGAAAATGGATGTGGAAAGAGACAAAATAGCAACATGTGGATATGAAACGGAAATATAAATTGAGGATGGGCAAACTGAGCAAAAGATCCTGTAAAAATGGTTTGAAATACACGCAGTCTGAATTTTGAGGTTTTTTTATGCTCACATGAAGATGTTATGAGAGATTAAATCAAGATAACTGAGGTGAGGTCGGTACCGCAACTTCTGAGGTGTTTTAGACTATTTGAAGCAGTGTTGTAGTTGGTCTAATTTCTTTTTTTATTTCATCCATTGCTGACAAATTTAAAGAATTACAAGCCTCGTTTTTAAAGTCCTCAAATGATCTTAAGTGCCTCAAACCTTGGAGAGATAAACACAAGGGATGTTCACAGGAACAAGTTTTTCCTTCTCTAAACCACCTAAAAAAAAACCTTAAATGCTGAGAAAAATTAGTCTTCTCCAGGATATTAAAAAAAAAGAAAGTAAATTGCATTGGACAAAATAATAATAATAATAATAATAATAATAATAAAAAGGAATTCCAACACAAAAACTAAGGCCTTCTCAGAGAACAGGTTACCAGTTTGCACAGCAAAAAAAGAGGTTCTCAGTTTGGTGCCAGAGACAGAGAGACGGGGAGAGAAACATGTAGCTCTTGTGCCAGGCAGACAATGAAAAACAGACGGAGTTAAAAACACAGTGAAGGCGACCATTTTGTGCCTCTTCACACATTTTGAGATAAAAAGGAAGGCTTGGTTCAAGCTAAATTAACATCTAGTTAGACTTATCGCATCCTGTGGTTTTGTTGAGCATTTCCTGTTGTTGGGATTATCGCTTCCTGACCAAGAGAATTATCCTAAGTGGGCCAGAAAGAACCATCAATTTCCCTCTCCGCAACCTTTACATGACATGTTTTTACTTCCTCTGGCCAGCTCGTCCTTTTCAGCACTAGTGCTTTGACTGTAGCGATTCAATGCAGGTTTTTGTTTCCTCTGGAAGAGGACTTCTCCGATGCTATGAAACATCCATTTTTATTATCCTCTACTTCATCATAAATCACAGAGAAAAGCTGCATGTGGTGGTGTTGGGCTACAACATCACAGACACACATCAAAGGCAGCAAAGAAGGAGAGGAGAAAAGGAGCTCTCGGACTTGAACGACTAAATGTATAGCACACATACAAGGCCACAGCAAATCTACAGGAAAAAACAAAAACAAAAAAAACACTGCACAGAAATATGTCACAGTCCTTGTTCTATGCCACAGCAGGCATTGTGGCCTATTTGCACATCGATCAACAACAAACCCCATCAAACTTTCAGGGAGGCTATCAGAAGCTATGGGTTAGGTACAACTACACACAGCACAGCACTCGACTGCCGTGCACTACCTAAAGTTTTTTCAGTCACTCTCTGCCCTTAGGAGAGGATCCAATTCTTTTTTCCACTGATGAATTAGAGGGTTTAGCAGAACCCCGATCAGCTGCTAAGGACAGAAAGCGACCGCACAGAGTCTAAGTCTAAGCTGGTACCTTGTCCCATTCTTCGGCGTCCATCGTATGTGTGTACCGTACGGCATGTGGGGACTAAAAACACAACAAGTTATACAAACCGAAAGAACCACTGTGTATTTAGTTGAAAGCTGGGGTTAATTTAAAAGGACATTTCTGAAACAATGTGCTGTTGCATAAACTTTAAATTTCTTTCAGTTTTTTTGTCAACTTTGGGACTGTGCAGCCAAAATCTAATATACTCTTCTGTCTCGTGCTTTTCTAGCTATACAAGTTTTGCCTCAGCTGGTGTGTTTCAGGGAAATGACTTGACTTACTCAACTTATGCGCAATCACTGCTGGGAAAACAGTTTTAGCCCACACAACATCAAAACTTGCGCTTAAAAAAAACAAAAAAACTATACATCTGAAACGGATAAAAAAAAAAAAATCTCACACCTGATCTGCTGCATTTTAACAGGAAGGCTAGAAAAAACAAAAACAAAGAAGCTATATTTGGCTTTGTGTCGGTGGAAAATGAAGATAGAGAAAAATTGATAAACACAGTATCCAACCCCCACTCCCCCAGCTCTGGTCAGTGTCGCTCATCAGCAGTACTGAGTGATGGCGCATAGGCTCGGGGAGAGCAGGGAGGAGAGACACAGCAGGGGAGGGGGAGGGGAGTGCAAGCTGTGGCAGCCATTTTATAAGGCAGCCTGGAAACAAGCAGAGATTCTCATTCAGGAGTCTGGATACATCTAGCAGAATCTTTCAGTGGGAATTTGACCAAAGTCGATGCTAACATGTCGCTCCAAATCAGACTAAGACGTTCACGCCGTCATGACTTCAAAATCGACCCCCCGGCAGGCGACTTTCCTCATCCGATTTCATTCTTTTACCTTCATGTTGAACAACAACGCTGGGGCTGATATTAATAACACTTTAGCTGTGTGTGTGTGTGTGTGTGTGTGTGTGTGTCTCAGTTAACTTACCCACTAGGTCCAGGTCTCTGTCCTTGTGTGAAGCGCCAGTCATTGTTGGGGGGCTTTTGCTGCAGAGAGAAGAGAAGTTGCAACATGAAATGGATGTTTCATTGCAGGAACGGCAAAAATGTCTCTCAGGTTTGTCTGTGTGTGTGCTTTGTAACTGAGACATCTGCATGTAATAAAATGTGTGTGTGTGTGTGTGTTTGTGGAAGAGTTCCCTTTTGTGTGATTCAGAAAACATGAGGCTCAACAAAGAGCTACAGATGGCTACAAATGTGTTGACGTTCAGGTGGCCATGCTGTTCACAGGAGTACATTTACACTGCAGTGCAAGGTTCATACAGACTAGGAGTAAACGGGTAGTTCAAGGAGAAATGCACATGATCAGTGAACCAAAAAAAAAAAGAGATGTAAAACTCTAAAAAGCATTGACGCAGCCAGAATATAAAACATGATGGCTAGATAGCTAAGTTCTCACAAAATGATTAGTTGATGTAAAAGGACACAGGAAGTCCTTGGACATTCATTTAGTTTGTGTTCTGAAATCAAAACAGTCCATGTTCCTAACTAATCCTGGATAAAGGCCTCTCTCTATACATCCCTGCTATTCTTTATTAATAAATTCAAGCCCACTGCACTCCTGTCCATCTCTACCTGTGTCGCCATGTCTTTCCCATCTCTCCTGCACTCTCCCTCTCTCATTGTGCAGTGATGCGGTGAATAAAAAAACCCTGGCTTAGCTCCAGACTCTGCCGCCTAATCGACACGAGAGCCCCCAGGAGAGAGAGAGAGTCCAGCAGCCCAATGTGCTGCATTATTAAAAGAACTGTCCTACCCGAGGGAATAATGGAAAGATGCAAGGGAGCAGGGGAAAAACAAACAAACACGGAATCCAGCCAAACATTCCTACACAGAAGGGAAACAAGATAAAACTTTGGAACATCATGAACAAGAAGAGGATAACAGTAAATAAATGTGCAAGTGAATAGAAAACAAGTCATGGAATCAATGGTCATTCAATTAAAAAGTGCCTTGAAATGCACATAGAATAAAGTGAACCAAGTTCATTTCAACTTTCTTTTGAAATGATTTCATGTATTTCGAGGAATGGTAAAAATGGTAAGGGTGCACAAATAAGGACTTATGTGGCACTATCATCAAGCAATTATTAATATTACAGATAAAATATCTATAACAGGACTGGGTCCATGCTAAGAAGCTAAAAACAAACTCAAAAAATGTGCAAATATGCGTGGGTGTGAGAGTCTGAGTTGTAGGAAGAGTAAAAGATGAGCACAGACCAGCGGGACAGAAAGCACGCTCATTCAAAAAAAAAATATTTGTCAGTTTTTAGCTTTGATCATACCAAATGTATACCCTACTGGGATACGACACTCTGGCAACTTTACATCTCTCCGTACATTATGCTTTTCTGTGTTTTTGCATGTAGGTGTGGAAATTTCAAAACGATGCATTTCTGTTTGGCACACAAAAGATTATTTCAGTATGTTTCCATTGGTAACTTGAAAACTTTTATTAGTTGCACTATTTTTTTTTTTAACAAGCTATCTGTGCGGCAGCGCAGATTTCAAGGCTTCAAAGGATTATCTGTGAAATGGACTTCTTATCTAGTCTAAAAGAAAAACACATTAATTTGCATAAAGGTCTGCATATAAAGGTTAGACAAATAGGACACAAGCACTCAGTTCGGAGCAAGACTGATGGAGCTCTGTAGACCGAGATTCTCACTTAACAATCACGCTAACCTTGAAGCCATCAGTCTTTTTCTGTACATCTTTCACTTGAGTCAAAGAGCTCTGAGGCATCTTTAGGTTAATTACACCCTGACCGTGTTACACCTTAATGCCATTTGAGGACTACCATGTGTAGAGCTGGATTTAGCAGTGGGTTTAAGTTAAACGCGTGAGGACAAGACACACCTGAATGCCGTCCAGCGAGTTGGTGAGCATGTGAGTATGAACCATGCACAATAATCCCACATACAGGCTAACAACTTCTCTAGCAAGTTGTTCTGTTTATGTTCCGACATACAAACAGAGCAATCCATTTTGTTCCGACATCTGGCAAGAGAAACGTATGCATGTGCAACACACTCAGATTCTAGACGTGAAGCAATTGTGTTGGTGCAAGCACAACATAAATGTGACATCTATAAGACACATGTTGGGGTTTGTGACTATGTTTACCAAATGCAAACATAATCATATATATATATATATATATACACATATATGTATATATATATGTTTTAATCTAAGTCTAAGTTTGGAATCTAAGTTTGGAAATTATCTTGGTTGACTCTTAATTGTTTTTCAATTAAACTGAAAAACATTAAAACTCAGCCATGAGAAAGTTGAGGTTGTGAGAAAGATGTGTAAACTAAACTGTAGAAAATTAACTAAAGCAGCCTCATGTGAACCAAACATACATTAGTCAATATTAACAAAGGCCTCTGACCCCTTAAAACTCACACATTATTAAACAAACTGTGCCAAAACAAGACAACACACTGTGGATTAATAAAGGACACAAAGAGGAGCAGTGGGAAGGCACAACGGCCCCCAGTGTCCTGCTAAAATTACACATGACCACAGGACTACTTGTCATTGAAGCTTTGTACACGCAATCTCGTGCACATAAACACCCCTAGTGAGGGCGACTGCTCTAAAGCCATTAAGGCCTGCGCCTTCTGTCACTGTGGCACACGTGCGTAAAGCCAAGCTTCCTTTTCAGTTTTCTGTCCCTTCCTCTCTTTTTTTTTCCACTGCTGTCCTCATTCCACACGTGTCACTAGAGCAGGGAGACAGATGGCATCCTCCTGACCTCGGGTACAACACAACTCAGATTAGTCTCAACAAACTTGCATGAAAAAGAAGAGTATTATACATGCAAGCAGGAGAAAGAAATGTTAAAAAGGTTTTTTTTAAAACAAACAAAAAAAAAAAGCTCTAGCAACAGTAATGACTGTACGGGACAGACGGAGCAAGATCCGCTTCACATGTGCTGCCGATTCCTGGAACCAATCACCAGAAGTTCAGAGGACAACAGGAAGTCAGGGTCGGGCCGATGACCCCGCAAATTCCTGTTTTTCAGTGACTGCTTTATTCTTTGGCCTATACTTCCACCTATCTGGCCATTTTCCTCTTCACCCCCACCATCCCTCCTTCTGTCATCCTGTTCCTCTCTGTCTCCACTCCACTGAATGGACTCTGCAGGACCCATTTCATCTGGATGTCTCCTCCCCCCATCTGTTAGAAGCACTAATGTTTTCCCCTTTACTTTTCTATTTGACTGTTTGCTGAACTAGCTTCCTTCATCTTCATTTGTCTTTATCTTTCTCCTTTTTGTCTATGCAGAAAGCTCTCTGTTATTTAAATAGCTTGAAGCCAGTGATAGTAGTTTGTAAGTCTTAAGTTAGATTTAAAAAAAAAAAAAGTTAACAACTCTACTTCAAACGAATTAGTCGTGTAGATTAGGGGAACCTCAAAAATCCTCTCATAATATGAAGAAAATAATCTTCATAAACTAACGTGACACACATAAAATCCAGCAAAGACACATTTTGCTATGCTGTCATAATTCAGAATTAACAAACTAAATGAAAATTGCTTTTGGGGATGTTTCAAAGACATTTAAAATGGAATGATCTACAATAAAACTCAGTAATGCTCTCATCCCAACTGTGGATGGCTTCCTCTCACCTCAATGGCTGAGTTCATGAGGTTCTTCCTGCTGAGCGTCATGTTGAGCGTGTTGTTATGACTCAGCATGGGTGTCTTCATAAATACAAAGTCGCTTCGACTAGATATAGTGGAGTAGCACGGTCGATAGGTGCGTGTGTGTGGCTCCTGGGGCCCTCCCACCACCTCCATGTATCGTATGGGTCCATCAGTGTTGAGCTGCAGGTGCAGGTCTTTGCCGGGCCTCTGATGGTAGCGGCTGGACCTGTGGCGGCCATAGCAGCAGCATTCAGAGTCTCCCAGTCCTGAGTCACGGTGCCTTAGGCAGCGCACCATGAGAACCACAAACGTGATGAAAGCTACACCCGACACACATGCGAGAGAGATTATAAGATATAAAGTGATGTTAGACATTCCATTGTGGTGGTAGAAGTGGTTGTGGCGAGTGTTCACTGGAACGTCGATGGCTGTGGCTTTCTCATCCACAGTTACGGTGATGTTTACCGAGCTGGACCTTGGTGGGTCACCGTTGTCCTGGATGATGACTGTTATGTCATAAGTAGAGCCCTCTTCCTCTTCGGCCCATTTGCGGGCTGTGCGGAGCTCCCCGGTGTGGGCCCCGATACGGAACATGCCAACATTTGGTCCAGGAGCGATTGAGTAAAACAACCACGCATTGTGCCCACTGTCTGCATCCACCGCCACCAGTTTATTTATGACGTGGCCGGGGCCGGCAGATGGGGGTACAGTGAGCTGCAGTCTTTTGTCTTTTGAGTAGGAGGGATGAACAATCACTGGTGAGTTGTCATTCACATCCACAACAAAGACATGTACAGTGACATTTGTTGCCCTTGGGGGTTCCCCTGCGTCCCGGGCCTGCACCTGAATGCGGAAAGCATTGAGCTTCTCATGGTCAAGGGAGCGCATGCTGTATATTTGGCCGGTTTCTGGGTTAATGTACACATAAGATGAGATGGGTGAGTCCTGGACCATGCTGGGAAGGATGGAATAGGAGATCCGAGCATTCTCACCCAGGTCGGAGTCCGTGGCAGAAACAGCAGCAATCGGGGAGCTGGGGGGATTGTTCTCAGGGATGTCCACAGAGTATGAAGGCTGGGAGAAAGATGGAGCATTGTCATTTACATCCAAGAGCTTCACTACAAAGGTTTTCTGAGATAAGAGTGGTGGGGAACCAGCATCGGTTGCCTTGATAACCACTGCGTACTCTGGGATGGTTTCTCGGTCCAGGCTGCCAGCAGTTTTCAAACTATAATGGCCATCAAAGGCTAAAATAAGTTTAAATGGCAAACCTGGTGGGATGGTTAATGTAACCTTCCCATTGTCTCCAGAGTCCAGGTCTTTAGCATTTATGACAGCAATCACTTTCTCTGGAGGCGAGTCTTCTCTGATGGAACTGATCGGTGACATCAGTGTCACCTCTGGGGCGTTGTCATTCACGTCGATGATGTCCACTATGACGTTACAGGAACCCTCCATGGCAGGGTATCCCCCATCTCTGGCCTGCACTGTGACGTGATAAGATGCGGCCTTCTCGTAGTCTACATCCCCCTTCACACGGATCTCCCCGCTCTTGGAGTCCACAGTGAAAAGCTGGAGAACACGTTCTGGTGTGTATTTACTAAACAGGAATGATATTTCACCGTTGCTGCCAGAATCAGCGTCAGTCGCATTTAATTTCGTAACTAAAGTGCCCTGTGCGACGTTTTCCGACAGCGTCACCTTCGTCACCGTCTCGGCAAAAACCGGAGCGTTGTCATTTACATCCAGAATTTTAATGAGCAAAAGAGTCGAGCCAGACTTCTCCGGCTGACCCCCATCCACGGCAGTGAGCAACAGGCGAAATGAGGCCTGCTTCTCTCTGTCCAGAGGTTTATCCACAACAAGTTCTGGAAACTTGCTGCCGTCACTCTTAGTCTGCACGTTCAGTGTAAAAAAGTCATTTGTGGCCACATGGTAAGTGCGTAAGGAGTTGGTGCCCACGTCTGGATCGTGCGCGCTTTCCAAGCGGAACCTCGTGCCCGGCGCGGCCGCCTCCGACACCTCCAGAGAAATGTTGCTGGTTGAAAACTGCGGCGCGTTATCGTTCACATCCAGGATGTCCACCATGACGCGATGAATCTCCAGCGGGTCCTCCAGCATAATTTGTATTTGTTGTGAACACGTTGAACTCAGTTCGCACAGTTGTTCCCTGTCAATTTTTTGTTTAATAATTAAATCACCAGTTGCCTGCTTCACCTCGAAATACTCCACCGCTGACTCGGAGACCACCCGTAACTTCCTCTGGACGATTCTCTGAGCCGTATGGCTCAGATCTTTCGCGATGTTTCCAACCACGGAGCCTGGATCTAGTTCCTCCAATACGGAATATCTGAGCTCAGCGGACGCTGAGCACACGCAGGCTAGATAGAGGTAAATCCTCCACAGCGTCCCTCCTCCGGAGCGCTTCCTCTGCCTGCAGTCCATTGTGCTGCGCTCCCAGGATCGGGAAAGTTTCTAACTTCTTTCGCCGTCACGTATCCATAACTAAGTGTTAAAACGAGCCTACACGGCTCGATGTAAACATTTCCACTCTAAAAGCAAAGCGATGGAAAGCTTTGATATGGTCATGGCGGCCGACATTAAAGAGAGAGAGAGAAAAAAATAAAATCACGGAGAAAACTCAAAGTTGCCCCTGGCTCCACTAAACCTCTGCTCTGTCTCCTCCGCCTCACTCTCTCCATGGGCGGGGAGAGACCACAGAAGCCTGTCCTCTGATTGGAAGACAAAGCTGGAGCAGCGCTGTCACACTTCCAACACCCACACCAAACTTTTCACTGACTTCTCTCTCTCACAGGCGAGAAAAACAACAACAAACCTTTAAAGTTTTAAGAAGTTTTGAAAGGACAGATGGAACAGAAATAAACAAGCAGCAAGGATATGAAAAAGTACACTTTGCACAACAATGGGCGTTTAAGTAAATGAAAGACAATTTACCTCCTGTCAGATTTGTCTCCGCACCGTCAAACTAATGTGAAACAAATAACACAGAGACCTGTGTGCTCTACTTCCGCATGGGGGCGTAGTTTTCAAAAAAAACTTTGACTTCAACAACTTTACTTTTTATCTGGACTTCATTCATTCATATACATAAAAAAGCAGTAATGCTCATTCTTAAAATTATAATTTTAAAAAGCCAGTTTAAGTTTGTGAGACTGACAACTGAAAAGAAAAGTACTAATTATGTAAACAGTATTTAGCAATTGTATCTCATAGAATTTGATTACTTTAAGGAAAAAAGAGAGAGAATCTAAAATATAATGCATTAATCCAAGTTGGATTAATGCATTAAAAATTAGATCAAGACAGAACTATGAATATGAAAAAAGACGAACCAACAATGAGTGATTCTTGAGAATNGCAACTACTGTACCGCTTGGTGCGTCTTCCCGCACAGGCTGAGGTTCAGAGGTGAGAACAATTTCTGGTATATTGTCATTAATGTCTACAACATCAACCTGTAGGCGACAGTTGCTCTCCATTTCAGGAACGCCTTTGTCTTTCGCAGATATTTCAATTTTATAAGAGGTGGATTTTTCATAATCCAAATTTCCCGTTAAATAAACATCTCCAGTTAATGATTTTATTTCAAAAATGGATAACACGGACTCTGGTGTCCTCGGACCAAAAAAGAACTCTATTTCTCCGTTCGGTCCCTCATCAGCGTCAGTAGCAGTAAATTTAATCACAGAGGTACCTTTTTCAGTATTTTCTGGTAAAGAAATTTTATAATTGTGTTTTTCGAATACTGGGAAATTGTCGTTTACATCAAGCACAGTAATTACAATTTGCGCTGTACCGGACAGGGCCGGATTTCCCCCATCAACTGCAGTCAGTTTTAGTTCATGAACAGCTTTCTTCTCTCGATCAAGGGATTTTTCCAGAACTAGTTCGGGGACTGCTCTGCCATCATCTATCTCCTTCATTTTTAGCGCAAAACAATCGTTTCTTGACAAACTGTATGATTTTACTGAGTTACTTCCAACATCTAGATCCTCTGCATTCTCCAATGAAAAGCGAGTTCCCACTGCTGCTGTTTCTGCGATTTTTATAGACAGTTCTTTTACTTGAAATATTGGAAAATTATCATTAATATCTTTAATTTCTACATCAAGTCGGTATAAATGTAAAGGGTTTTCAATAACAATTTGTAAAGGTAAAACACAGCTGGCGCTTTGTCCACATAAACCCTCTCTGTCTATTCTGTCATTCACCACCAGCTCGCCCTTCCCCGCATCCACGCTGAAATACTGCTCCCCAGCCTCAGAGGCGACCCGCACCTTACGGTCAAAAATCTCAGATAATGACAAACCCAAATCTTTGGCGAGATTTCCCACCACAGAGCCTTGTTTGAGTTCCTCTGGGATGCTGTAGCGAGTCTGGGCTTCAATTGTACTCCACAGGATAAAGAGCTGATGCCACCAGAGCGCCTGCCATCTCCAGTCTCGGTATCCCATTTTCTTTGTCATCCCGGATCCGTTAGCTCGTAATATTTCCCATCATGAAAATGGTGGCACTTGTCCAGTTCCGGGAAGAATCAAACAAGATCTGAATCAATCCGTAACCATGTTCATTCATGACTTCAACTGAAAATCAATTATTTTATTCTAAGGTTCGAGTTATAAGCGCCTCACACTGCTATCTAACTCATTGCATTATGGACGTTTTGTGGTGCTGAAGCTGCTGGAGGAGGGGGGTAGATCTCTTTGTACTTTCCTTGCCTGCTATTGGAGCACAGCATGCTTCCCCGTCATCCAACGGGAAGCGCACTGAGCAGAGCTTTTAAAGATACAGCCGTGCTTATGAAAGGAGCTCTACACAGTGTTGTACTTTAACACATTTACCAGTCCGCTGATTTTAATTGTGCCACTGGTACTTAAACTTACTAATAGATTAAAAATAAATGAATAAATAAATAAATAAAATAACATACTTTTCTATCATAATTTTACAGACATACACCAGCCTAAATATTTACTTGAATATAGAATTAATCATAAAATGAAGACTTTAACAAGCATCAAAATATTTTGCTGGCAAAAAATATGTTATTTCACTAATAAAATATTTGCGAAATTTTTAGACTGACATATTATCCTGTTTGACAAAATCTGCTTTTAATAACGAACAAAGCTGAGAACTGAGAACTGTCTTCCACATCATACTTCAAAAAAGTACATGGAAGCATACACAACAGGCAACAAAGACTAGCAACCAAGATGCCCGCCATTCATTTCTTTAACTGAATTATTCAACTAATGTGATAATGCAATGCTTTGAGCTCACCTGTTGGCTCTCAAAGGTCCAGGTGCTGTCAGGTAAAGACGCGTCCAGAACACTGATGACTTCTTTAAAGTCTGTGGTGCTGCTGGGTTTGATCAATGTGAAATCACTGTACTCTGACATCGGAGACATGCAGGATCTGAACGACTGACTCTGAGACATCATGTCTCCTCCCAGGACCTCCACGTATTTTATAGGTCCATCAGTGTTGAGCTGAATCTGCAGGTTTCTGTTGGGGTTCTTGTAATCATCGCAGTCGCTCATTCTCATGCAGCAGCTCCCGCTGCTTCTGCTGCCCCTGATGCATTTCACCGCCAGGATGAGAAAAGTCACCAGAGACAGCACGGACACTGAGGCCAGAGACAGAATCAAATAAAGGGTGATTCTGCCGGTTTTCTTGCTGGGCTCGGACATTTTGTGTCGGAGGTCTAAAATGGGTTCATGGAGACTTTCCTCCAGTAAGATGGACACCGTGGCGGTGGCGGACTGAACCGGTTGCCCGTCGTCCTTGATCTCTATCAGCAGCCTCTGAGAGGAGTCGTCCTGCTCGTACACAGCGCGTTTAGTCCTCACCTCTCCTGTGTACTGATTGACGGTGAACAGAGAGGCGTCTGTGGCCTCCGCCAGTCTATATGAGATCCAGGCATTATGGCCCGAGTCAGCGTCCACGGCCGTTACCTTGGTAACCAGGTGACCCGCTTTAGCGGAGCGGGGCATCCTCTGATGAGAGAGGGAGCCCAGGGCAGCAGAGGAGGGGTAAATAACAGCGGGGGTATTATCGTTCTGGTCCAGGATGTAAACATGGACAGTGGCGTTGCTGCTGAGAGAGGGAGAGCCCTGGTCCTTTGCCTGAACCTGAATCTGAAACACTTTCAGCTTCTCGTAGTCAAACGAGTGCATGCTGTAGATGCTCCCGTTATTTGAGTTAATGTAAACATAAGACGAGACAGAGACGTCCTGCACTTTAGAGTCCAGTATGGAGTAAGAGATCTTTGCGTTTTCACCAGAATCCCGATCAGATGCTGTTACTGAATAAAGTATCGAACCTGGAGCCATATTTTCTTTCAGATATACGTTATATGATGGCTGACTGAAAAGAGGTGGATTGTCATTTATATCTGTGATACTAACTGGGATAATCCTGGTGCTGGAGAGAGCCGGAGTTCCTGCATCCGTAGCTGTTATTTCGATGTTAAACTCTGAGACCGTCTCTCTGTCTAAAGGGCCGTTTGTAATCATAGCGTAATTATTAGAGAAAGAAGGTTTTAGACTAAAGGGTGAACTTTTTGGGATCTGAATTTTAACTTTACTGTTATCACCCGAATCAAGATCACGTACGCTGAGTAAAGCCACCACTGTGCCGCTGTTCGAGTCTTCTGGCACTGATGTGGATTTGGAAGTGAGAAGAATGTCGGGAGCGTTATCGTTTACGTCTAATACATCCACCTGCACAGTGCAGTGTCCTTCCATCTTAGGCAAACCTTTGTCTTTTGCACTAATATCTATTCGATATGATGCCTTAGCTTCAAAGTCTAATGACTGTTTCAAATATATGTCTCCAGTTTCAGCATCTATGTGAAATAAGGACAGAACTGATGGGGGTGTGTGTACGCCAAAAGAGTATTCAATTTCTCCGTTTAGATCCTCATCTATGTCTGTTGCTTTGGTAGAAATAACAAATGAACCGTTTGCACTGTTTTCTTGAACAGCAATCTTATAAAAACTTTGTTCAAACTGTGGAACATTGTCATTATTATCAAGTACATGTATGGTTATCTTTGAAATCCCGGTCTTAACGGGATTCCCTCCGTCCATAGCAGTAAGAACTAAGCTATGCGTCGCCCTTTTCTCCCGGTCTAATGATTTATTTAATACTAACTCTGGAATTTTTTTTCCATTTTCAATTTCCTTAACTTTTATCGAAAAACATTCATCTTTGCTTAGCGTGTACGTTTTTAATCCGTTATTCCCAACATCCGGGTCCTCCGCCATCTCCAAGGGAAAATGAACACCGACAACGGTGGACTCAGCAATTTCGATTACATGATCACTTTTGAGAAAAGTAGGAGCATTGTCATTTACGTCTCTTATTTCCACTTCTATCCTGTGCAGCTGCAAGGGGTTTTCTACCACAACCTGCAGAGGTAACACACAGGTGGCGCTTTGTCCACACAGAGCCTCTCTGTCTATTCTGTCATTCACCACCAGCTCGCCCTTCCCCGCATCCACGCTGAAATACTGCTTACCAGCCTCAGAGGCGACCCGCAGTTTACGCTCAAAAATGTCTGATAATCCCAAGCCGAGATCTTTGGCAATATTACCAACCAGAGAACCTCGTTCCAGTTCCTCTGGGATGTTGTAACGAGTCTGTCCGTGTATTATATTCCACAATAGCAAAAAATTATGCCACCAAAGCGCCTGCCATCTCCACTCCCGGTGTCCCATTCTCTTTGTCATCCTCGCTCCGTTAAAGCACGTTAATTCCCATCGTTATCTTATAAAATGAACGGACAGACGGTGAAATCCGTTATTGGCGACACAGGCAAACTCCAGGGAAATCCAAGTAATAAACCCATCCTAACATGCAAAGTAAAGGTTACTTTTTCAGTTTTGCTGTTGAAGTGCAAGCTCGTCTCCGTTCATACTCAGAGCAGAACACTGGCTCCAGTGCTGAGGATGGATGGGGGAGGGAGTAGATCTCTTTGTACAAAAAGTGATGCTATTGGCACAGTGCATTTACAACGACACCCAATAAGAATAGAAGAGCCGCGAATAAACAGAACAAAGCAATTTAAAATGATAAGATGCCCGAGTAACACAAATAAACCATTTGAAAAATGAAATAAAGTTAAAACAAAAAAATGTTAAGGTTTATATTTTTACTTTGTCGTCAAATCCTGTGGTTTATTTCAAACCACACATTATAATTCATTGGATATATTTTTAAGTGGCAGAAAATACAGCAATTATTATTATTTTTTTATTTTTCAGCACACAAAGATCTTTTCTAAGAAACTTGACAAAATATTGTTTTCAGATACTTCCATTGTGTTTCTGTTTTAACCAGTCATCCAGCGAAATTTCACGCACGGAAAGAAAAGATGTTACATGCGATGAATAGCTGCATTATCATTATGACATAAAAAAAATAAATAAATAATGAAATTAAGACAAACACTGCTGGCTAAAAAATACAATAACCTGCATTGTTACGTCATCATTTATGTTCAAACTCATAATTAAAAGCGAAAAAGTAAAGTGTATATTTCTTTATTCACATTTTAAAAAACAAATTTATAGGAGTCAAACAGCAAAAAAAACAACACTAAAAGAATATTGAATATGAAATGATCGTGTATTTTTGTTATCTTTGAGCTCACCTGCTGGCTCTCAAAGGTCCAGGTGCTGTCGGGTAAAGACGCGTCCAGAACACTGATGACTTCTTTAAAGTCTGTGGTGCTGCTGGGTTTGATCAATGTGAAATCACTGTACTCTGACATCGGAGACATGCAGGACCTGAACGACTGACTCTGAGACATCATGTCTCCTCCCAGGACCTCCACGTATTTTATAGGTCCATCAGTGTTGAGCTGAATCTGCAGGTTTCTGTTGGGGTTCTTGTAATCATCACAGTCGCTCCTTCTCATGCAGCAGCTCCCGCTGCTTCTGCTGCCCCTGATGCATTTCACCGCCAGGATGAGAAAAGTCACCAGAGACAGCACGGACACTGAGGCCAGAGACAGAATCAAATAAAGGGTGATTCTGCCGGTTTTCTTGCTGGGCTCGGACATTTTGTGTCGGAGGTCTAAAATGGGTTCATGGAGACCGTCCTCCAGTAAGATGGACACCGTGGCGGTGGCTGACTGACCCGGTTGCCCGTCGTCCTTGATCTCTATCAGCAGCCTCTGTGAGGAGTCGTCCTGCTCGTACACAGCGCGTTTAGTCCTCACCTCTCCTGTGTACTGATTGACGGTGAACAGAGAGGCGTCTGTGGCCTCCGCTAGTCTGTACGAGATCCAGGCATTATGGCCCGAGTCGGCGTCCACGGCTGTTACCTTGGTAACCAGGTGACCCGCTTTAGCGGAGCGGGGCATCCTCTGATGAGAGAGGGAGCCCAGGGCAGCAGAGGTGGGGTAAATAACAGCGGGGGTATTATCGTTCTGGTCCAGGATGAAAACATGGACAGTGGCGTTGCTGCTGAGAGAGTGAGCCCCCTGGTCCTTTGCCTGAACCTGAATCTGAAACACTTTCAGCTTCTCGTAGTCAAACGAGTGCATGCTGTAGATGCTCCCGTTATCTGAGTTAATGTAAACATAAGACGAGACAGAGACGTCCTGCACTTTAGAGTCCAGTATGGAGTAAGAGATCTTTGCGTTTTCACCAGAATCCAGATCAGATGCTGATACAGAGTAAAGTATAGATCCTGGGACTCCGTTCTCTTTAAGATACACATTATAAAAGGACTGGGTAAAAACAGGTGGGTTGTCATTCACATCAGTGATGCTGACAGCTATAATTGTACTACCTGATAGACGAGGATTACCTGAATCAAAAGCTTTTAATTCGATATCAAACTGTGAAATTTTCTCACGGTCTAGAGGATCGTTGGTGAGCAGTTCATAGTTATTAGAAAACGAAGGTTTTAGGATGAAAGGAAACGTTTTTGAAAGATGCAACACCACTTTTCCGTTATCACCCGAGTCACTGTCTCGTGCGCTTATCAAAGCGACCACTGTTCCACGGGGAGCGTCCTCGCGTACGGGACTGGGTTTAGAAGTGAGCAAAATCTCTGGAGCATTATCATTTATATCCTCGATATCAACTTGGACACGACAGTGTCCCTCCATTTCAGGAGTTCCTTTGTCTTTAGCAGTTATGTCGATAAGGTACGATTTACTTATCTCATAATCTAGAGGACCTTTTAATAACATTTCCCCGCTTTCATCGTTGATTTCAAATGTCGACAGGACAGACTCTGGAGTACGAGACCCAAATAAATATGTCACTTCACCATTAAGACCATCATCAGCATCAGTGGCTGTCAGTTTGATAACAAATGTCCCTTTAGTGCTGTTCTCCTTTAAAGAAATCTTGTACTCATTTTCGCTAAAAACTGGAAAATTATCGTTATTGTCAAGAACTGTAATTGAAATTTTACAGGTTCCTGATCTAGCAGGATTTCCTCCATCTAATGCCGACAGTAACAACCCATGTAAAGCATTCTTTTCTCTGTCTAATGGTTTCTCTAACATCAATTCCGGGACAGCTTGTCCATTTTTTGTTTGTTTAAACTTTAAAGAAAAATAATCATTTTTGCTCAGGGAGTATGATTTTAAAGAATTACTTCCAACATCAGAGTCCTCAGCGCTTTCTAAAGGAAAGCGTTTCCCGACAAGCACGGATTCGGGTATTTTAAGGTTGATTTCCTGCGTAGGAAAACTCGGAGAATTGTCATTAATGTCTGTTATTTCAACTTCAATCCGATGAGACTGCAAAGGATTTTCAACAACTATCTGCAGGGGTAGAACGCAGCTGGCGCTTTGTCCACATAAAGCCTCTCTGTCTATTCTGTCTTTCACGATCAGCTCGCCCTTCCCCACATCCACGCTGAAATACTGCTCACCAGCGTCCGAGGCAAGGCGCATCTTACGGTCAAAAATGTCCGATAATCCCAACCCCAGATCTCTGGCAAGATTTCCAACCACCGATCCCTGTTTTAGTTCCTCCGGGATGCTGTAACGACTCTGTGCATCTATTGTACTCCAAAAAAGGGAAAAATGATGCCACCAAAGAGCCAGCCATCTCCAGCCCCGATTTCCTTTTCTCTTTGTCATCCTTGATCCGCTATATGGCGTGAATTTCCATCAGAGTCCAGTTTACAGAAATACTGCCCCAATGTTTGAAGAAAATATGTCTCCGTTTGCAAAACAATACACCTTCTGATCGTGCCTTTAAGATGAATCTCATGTTTAGCTGAATGAAATAGCTGCTTATTTCTCTCTTGTTGGGCTCAGTTCACTCTGTTACAGCGCTATCTGTATGGGGGCAGGGAGTGGATTGCTTTGTACAGTTCAAAATCTTATTGGTCCACGAAATCCCTCTCCAACATCCAATGAGAAGCTGGCAGATCAACGCTCTTAAAGTGACAGCATGCAGTGCCTAACTGAGCTTCCAACTGGGCTGCTTCATTTAAACCAAACAGAGCTGAACCAGCATTAAATCGATAAATGAACCACACACACAAAGTGGCGTCAAATATTCTGTTAGAGAAAATCACATTATACTGTCAGTTTGGAGTAAATACATTCATTTTAATGATGAAAGTGGTCACGGCATCTCTTATGAACAAATATTAGTAACACATGGTGTATCATTGGTTAAGGCGCAGACGGACAGGAAGACAGACAGACAAAAAGAATCACTCCTAAAAGTGTTTTTTCAACAATATGTCCTCCAGCCTGTCGCTGTCCACACCATGGTGCTGAAACATGAAGTAGCCCTCACTATTTTTCAAATTTTCATGCAGGCATTGTGAAGAAAAAATTATGTCAGCAGGTAGAACACCGAAAAGAATCATGGTTAACAACAATATTAATTTAGCTTCAACATTTATGATTTCAATTTTCAAATATGTTGCAATAAACTAACATGTCCTTTCTGAATTTCCACACAAGACTAGAGATATGTTTGACTACGTTTTTGTTTATGTATTTCTGAACCTAAGTTACACGTCATGCTGTGCTCACCTGCTGGCTCTCAAAGGTCCAGGTGCTGTCGGGTAAAGACGCATCCAGAACACTGATGACNATGGGAAAATTAAAACCCATTTTGTCCCTATTCTCAAGAATCACTTTTTAAAATACATTTGCTCTAAAAGATGTCATTAGAAAAAACATATTGGGTGTGGTGTTAATCCTTTTTTATTTATTTGTGGTGGGGTTTATTATCACTCTTAGTAAAATGTTTTTAACCTATTTTTCAGTTCAAGCCATCTTCTCAAAAATAAACTAAACTAACGCAAAGTAAAATCCATAACGCATGACCTCAAAATAAGCACCAACGAACAGAATGAATATAAAAATTAACCAGAAGCGAGCCAGTAAACGAATGTGTTAACACTATAGTTGCTGTTCGCTTAGCTCACCTGCTGGCTCTCAAAGGTCCAGGTGCTGTCGGGTAAAGACGCGTCCAGAACACTGATGACTTCTTTAAAGTCTGTGGTGCTGCTGGGTTTGATCAATGTGAAATCACTGTACTCTGACATCGGAGACATGCAGGACCTGAACGACTGACTCTGAGACATCATGTCTCCTCCCAGGACCTCCACGTATTTTATAGGTCCATCAGTGTTGAGCTGAATCTGCAGGTTTCTGCTGGGGTTCTTGTAATCATCACAGTCGCTCCTTCTCATGCAGCAGCTCCCGCTGCTTCTGCTGCCCCTGATGCATTTCACCGCCAGGATGAGAAAAGTCACCAGAGACAGCACGGACACTGAGGCCAGAGACAGAATCAAATAAAGGGTGATTCTGCCGGTTTTCTTGCTGGGCTCAGACATTTTGTGTCGGAGGTCTAAAATGGGTTCATGGAGACCGTCCTCTAGTAGGATGGACACCGTGGTGGTGGCGGACTGAACCGGTTGCCCGTCGTCCTTGATCTCTATCAGCAGCCTCTGAGAGGAATCGTCCTGCTCGTACACAGCTCGTTTAGTCCTCACCTCTCCTGTGTACTGATTGACGGTGAACAGAGAGGCGTCTGTGGCCTCCGCCAGTCTATATGAGATCCAGGCATTATGGCCCGAATCAGCGTCCACGGCCGTTACCTTGGTAACCAGGTGACCCGCTTTAGCGGAGCGGGGCATCCTCTGATGGGAGAGGGAGCCCAGGGCAGCAGAGGAGGGGTAAATAACAGCGGGGGTATTATCGTTCTGGTCCAGGATGTAAACATGGACAGTGGCGTTGCTGCTGAGAGAGGGAGAGCCCTGGTCCTTTGCCTGAACCTGAATCTGAAACACTTTCAGCTTCTCGTAGTCAAACGAGTGCATGCTGTAGATGCTCCCGTTATCTGAGTTAATGTAAACATAAGACGAGACGGAGACGTCCTGCACTTTCGAGTCCAGTATGGAGTAAGAGATCTTTGCGTTTTCACCAGAATCCTGATCAGATGCTGATACTGAATAAAGTATAGATCCTGGTAATCCGTTTTCTTTTAAATACACATTATAGGACGACTGAGAAAAACTAGGAGGGTTGTCATTTACATCAGTGATGCTGACATGAATAGTTTTCGTGCTGGACATTTGTGGAGTACCTGAATCAGTGGCGGTTATCTCAATATTATAATCAGATGCCCTCTCTCTGTCTAAATTACCGCTGGTAACCAGCGCATAATTATTAGAAAATGAAGGCTTCAGATTAAAAGGGGGACCTTTGGCGAGATGTAGAGTTACTTTACCGTTATCGCCGGAGTCAAGGTCTTTTGCACTTATCAAAGCAACCACAGTGCCGCTTGGCGCGTCTTCGCGCACAGGTTTAGGCTGAGAAGTAAAAACAATTTCTGGGGCGTTATCATTAAAATCAGTGATGTCTACCTGGACACGGCAGTGGCCTTCCATTTGAGGACTGCCTTTGTCCTTTGCGATGACATCAATGTCATATGACTTAACTGTCTCATAGTCTAAATCCCCTTTCAGAGTTATTTCACCTGTTAAAGGGTGAATATCAAAGGCTGACAGCACAGAAGGCGGTGTGCGAGGCCCAAATGAAAATTCAACTTCACCGTTTGAGCCTTCGTCTGCATCTGTCGCTTTGGGTTTAATAATAACTATTCCTTTCAAACTTTTTTCACCCAAAGATATTTTGTACAAGTTTTTCTCAAACACCGGAAAATTATCATTAATATCAAGAACATTTATAGTTATTTGTGTAGTTCCAGACCGCACAGGATTTCCTCCGTCTAACGCTGTCAGCAATATTTTGTGAACAGACGTTTTCTCTCGGTCAAGAGTTTTCTCCAAATAGAGCTCCGGGGCAGCCTTGCCACCCTCGATTTCTTTTATCTTCAGGGAGAAGCAGTCGTTTTTACTGAGTGTATAAAATTTAAGTGAATTGCTCCCAACATCAGGGTCCCCTGCGCTCTCTAAAGGAAAGCGCGTACCAACAGCCGCCGATTCGGCTATATATAAAGAAATCTCGTTTGAAAGGAAAATTGGAGAATTGTCATTAATATCTTTAATTTCAACTTCAATTCGATGCAACTGTAGCGGATCCTCGATTACAACCTGCAGAGGCAATATGCAGCTGGCGCTTTGTCCACATAAAGCCTCTCTGTCTATTCTGTCATTCACCACCAACTCGCCCTTCCCCACATCCACGCTGAAATGCTGCCCACCAGCCTCCGAGGGGACACGTAGTTTACGCTCAAAAATGTCCGATAATCCCAAACCCAGATCTTTTGCAAGATTTCCAACCACAGATCCCCGTTTCAGCTCCTCTTGTATGCTGTAGCGAGTTTGTCCATGTATTGTATTCCATAGAAGAAAGAAATGATGCCACCAAAGCGCCTGCCATCTCCAGTCTCGGTGTTCTTTCCTCTTTGTCATCCTCATTCTACAAACGAACCCGTTTCCATCCCATATAAGCGCAGATCAGAGAGGGAAAAGGGATATCCGGCGAGCGCAACATATCCAGTTGGAATAATAGCTATTTCTGGTCAAACATTAAATAAAGACATGATGCTGAGCTCCTAAAATATGAATTATTTGCTGACTGTTCTCCCTCTCTGAGCATTGTGGCGGCTGAAGCTGCAGGGGGGAGGGACTAGATCTCTTTTTACTATGATGAATTCTATTGGTTCGCAGCATCCACCTCTGATTTCCAATCAGAGTAACACTGCTAAAGACACATCTACCTCATTTTTGATGCATGATAAGATAGCAAAGAAACAGCAAAGTGATATATTTTAATTTACATCAGACAATATGAAAAAAAAAATTAATTATATTATTCAGGTTTGTAAATATATTTTGTACAATTAAGTTGTACTTTGTTGAGGTTAAAATTAAATATTTCGTTCATTAATTCTGTGTCAACATTCCGTGAATCCTCTACACTTCTTGGGATTATGGTCGCTGTCCAGCCGCGCAGTGCTGAAATGCTTTGCTCTAAAATGCAATGAACATTTGACGCCCTTTTTTTTCCAGGTCTAAAAAATAATAGTACAGGAAATGTAAATCAGCAGAAAGTAAAGTGTTTTTTCATTAAGATGAATTTAATAATAAAAAAAAAGTGTTTAATGTTGATGTAAATCTATCTAAATGACCATTAATACGACTCTATGCTCACCTGCTGGCTCTCAAAGGTCCAGGTGCTGTCGGGTAAAGACGCGTCCAGAACACTGATGACTTCTTTAAAGTCTGTGGTGCTGCTGGGTTTGATCAATGTGAAATCACTGTACTCTGACATCGGAGACATGCAGGACCTGAACGACTGACTCTGAGACATCATGTCTCCTCCCAGGACCTCCACGTATTTTATAGGTCCATCAGTGTTGAGCTGAATCTGCAGGTTTCTGTTGGGGTTCTTGTAATCATCACAGTCGCTCCTTCTCATGCAGCAGCTCCCGCTGCTTCTGCTGCCCCTGATGCATTTCACCGCCAGGATGACAAAAGTCACTAGAGACAGCACGGACACTGAGGCCAGAGACAGAATCAAATAAAGGGTGATTCTGCCGGTTTTCTTGCTGGGCTCAGACATTTTGTGTCGGAGGTCTAAAATGGGTTCATGGAGACCGTCCTCTAGTAGGATGGACACCGTGGTGGTGGCGGACTGAACCGGTTGCCCGTCGTCCTTGATCTCTATCAGCAGCCTCTGTGAGGAGTCGTCCTGCTCGTACACAGCGCGTTTAGTCCTCACCTCTCCTGTGTACTGATTGACGGTGAACAGAGAGGCATCTGTGGCCTCCGCCAGTCTATAAGAGACCCAGGCATTATGGCCCGAATCAGCGTCCACGGCCGTCACCTTGGTAACCAGGTGACCCGCTTTAGCGGAGCGGGGCATCCTCTGATGAGAGAGGGAGCCCAGGGCAGCAGAGGTGGGGTAAATAACAGCGGGGGTATTATCGTTCTGGTCCAGGATGTAAACATGGACAGTGGCGTTGCTGCTGAGAGAGGGAGAGCCCTGGTCCTTTGCCTGAACCTGAATCTGAAACACTTTCAGCTTCTCGTAGTCAAACGAGTGCATGCTGTAGATGCTCCCGTTATCTGAGTTAATGTAAACATAAGACGAGACAGAGACGTCCTGCACTTTAGAGTCCAGTATGGAGTAAGAGATCTTTGCGTTTTCACCAGAATCCAGATCTGATGCTGTTACTGAATAAAGTATAGATCCTGGTAATCTATTCTCCTTTACATACACATTATAGGAGGCGTGATTAAAAATAGGTGGGTTGTCATTTACATCAGTGATGCTGACATGAACTGTTTTCTTACTTGACAGAGGCGGGGAACCTGCATCGGTCGCTGTTATCTCAACATTATATTCTGCACTTTTTTCTCGGTCTAGAACACCAGCAGTAATCAGGGCATAATTGTTTGAAAAAGAAGCTTTTAAACTGAAAGGAGACCCATGTGCAAGTTTTAATGCTACATTGCCGTTATTGCCTGAATCGAGATCACGTGCACTTATTAAAGCTACCACTGTACCTTTTGGTGCGTCCTCTCGTACAGGGCTGGGCTTGGAAGTTAACATTATTTCTGGCACGTTATCATTGACGTCTATTACAACTATTTGTACGCGACAGTGACCCTCCATTTCTGGAATTCCTTTGTCCTTTGCAGTGACACTTATTTCGATCTTACTACTGCTCTCATAATCTAACGCGTTCAATAAGATAATTTCGCCTGTATCTGAATTCATCTTAAAAGTGGACAGCAGCGACGGGGGTGTGCTGTCAGCAAATCTGTACTCGATCTCCGCGTTGACTCCCTCGTCTTCATCTACGGCTTCAACTTGAACAAGCACAGAACCAACGGCGCTATTTTCAGGCACAGAGATATTATACAACGTCCTTTTAAACACCGGGACATTGTCGTTATTGTCCAACACGGTCACAATGATATTTGTGGTTCCGGTTTTCACAGGGCTGCCTCCGTCTAACGCTGTCAGTAACAACTGATGCACGCTCTGTTTCTCTCGGTCTAGCGGTTTCTCCAGCACGAGCTCGGGAACATGTCGGTCACCAGACAGTTCCTTCATTTTCAAGCTAAAACATTCGCTCTTACTTAATGTGTACGACTTAACTGAATTGCTACCAAAATCCTGATCCTGTGCGGTGTCCAAAGGAAAGCGTATACCAGCAGCGGTGGATTCAGCTATCTTCAGATGCCGCTCTTCTTTAATAAAAACCGGAGAGTTGTCATTTATGTCTTTTACTTCCACTTCTATCCGGTGCAGCTGTAGTGGATTCTCTGTCACAACTTGCAGTGATAGAATACAGCTGGCGCTTTGTCCGCACAGAGCCTCTCTGTCTATTCTGTCATTCACCACCAGTTCGCCCTTCCCCGCATCCACGCTGAAATACTGCTCGCCAGCCTCAGAGGCGACACGCAGCTTACGGTCCAAAATGTCTGATAATCCCAAACCGAGGTCTTTTGCGAGATTTCCAACCGCAGAACCCCGCTTCACTTCCTCCGGGATGCTGTAGCGAGTCTGTCCTTCTGTTGTAATCCTCAACAGAACGAAATGATAGCACCAAAGCCCAAGCCATTTCCACTCTCGATATCTCATTCTCTTTGTCATCCACGGTAGCTGCCCGGTCCGCTACAATGTTGTATTTCCCATGAAGATATTCATCCACGTAATCCTGACTTTGAAGTCACCATTAATACGGAAATTCTTTAACAATTATATCAATTATGACTAACAGAACGCACGATAAAGACGTCATGTACGAAATGCATCTCCTCGCCGGCTCTGACCACAGTGAGGGTTGCTGTGAGGAGAGCGAGTGGGGGAAGGACTAGATCTCTTTGTACAATTCTGTGAGCTATTGGTCTCCATCTTCTAGCCCATCAGTCCAATCACAGAAAGCCGAGCATGCCCTACGAAGCTACAGCAAGAATCACAGCAGGCGCAACATCACGTAAATAAAAAAAATGGTAAATAAATGAATACTGGATCTACACCTTAATGAAAGCTAGTTTCATTTTAAAGGTTTTGATCCATAGAATGTTTTTCTTTTCTATTTCTGTCTTTTCTTTCTTTCTTTCTTTTTTTTTACAAATACATATTGTACTGCAAAAATTCAACAACAATGAAATACACAAGAACAACAAAATAGCTTGTTAAGGCCCACGAGAGACATTAAAAAATTTAAATAAAAAGATCTACTGATTATTATCAAAACGTTTGACAGTGATATGTTGTAAGTGTGTGTGTGTGTGTGTGTGTGTGTGTGTGTGTGTGTGTGTGTGTGTGTGCCTTTAATCCACCTAGTTTTATGGATTTTGGTTAATGTTGGTGGGTTTTAGGCTTTAAATTGAAGGGTTGATTGAGGTAAGGGTAACTTTTAGCCCTGTAAAACTTTGCAAGTCCTAAACATACAGAAACAAACAATAAATTTGGCTTAAGGGATAATAAATTAATGTTATTTAAAATGTTCATTCATTCATTCATTCATTCATTCATTCATTCATTCATTCATTCATTCATTCATTCATTCATTCATTCATTACTTGTTTCTACAGTAGAGGCCTCCAAACAAAAACAATCCCGGTGTTCCAGCCGTCTCAGTGACATAATGTCGCTGTCCAGGCAAGCGGTGCTGAAAAACTGAAATACAGTCAAAACTTAACGTTTGGCTGCGACAGATGGCAAGAAACAGTAAGAATAAGATGGATGAATAAGTGATTCTTGTACTTCTGCAACATAGTATGTTTTAATGCCTGGTATGAAACGAATTGTCCATTAGACAAAATGAAGAAATCTTCAGCCTTGTAAGTTCAAGTAAAAAAAACAAAAAACAACAAAAAAAAAACATCTGAAATGCTTTAGTTTTCTGGGAACAAATGGACCAATCGCCCATCCATTGATGTTTATGCTCGTTAAAATATATAGTATAAATGTAGTGGAAATGTTTATTGAAATCTAATTTTTAGCTCACCTGCTGGCTCTCAAAGGTCCAGGTGCTGTCGGGTAAAGACGCGTCCAGAACACTGATGACTTCTTTAAAGTCTGTGGTGCTGCTGGGTTTGATCAATGTGAAATCACTGTACTCTGACATCGGAGACATGCAGGACCTGAACGACTGACTCTGAGACATCATGTCTCCTCCCAGGACCTCCACGTATTTTATAGGTCCATCAGTGTTGAGCTGAATCTGCAGGTTTCTGTTGGGGTTCTTGTAATCATCACAGTCGCTCCTTCTCATGCAGCAGCTCCCGCTGCTTCTGCTGCCCCTGATGCATTTCACCGCCAGGATGACAAAAGTCACCAGAGACAGCACGGACACTGAGGCCAGAGACAGAATCAAATAAAGGGTGATTCTGCCGGTTTTCTTGCTGGGCTCAGACATTTTGTGTCGGAGGTCTAAAATGGGTTCGTGGAGACCGTCCTCCAGTAAGATGGACACCGTGGCGGTGGTGGACTGAACCGGTTGCCCGTCGTCCTTGATCTCTATCAGCAGCCTCTGAGAGGAATCGTCCTGCTCGTACACAGCTCGTTTAGTCCTCACCTCTCCTGTGTACTGATTGACGGTGAACAGAGAGGCGTCTGTGGCCTCCGCTAGTC